ACAGGATCAAGCATGTGGACAGATGTAGGCTTGCAAAATCGCCAAAGACCTAATAAGATAGCCTATGCCAGGGATGAACTGTGGGGACAGCCACTGCCACACCTGCTGAGGCCATCTTGAGATACATCATCTCCCAAGAAGGGGGAGGGTCGCTTTAACCTGACCCACTTGTGTCCAGAGCATTGTGTTGATAGCCCAGAATGATGCCAAATTCACGGCTAGCACAAGTGTTGCTGTTTTGGTGCAGTCAGGGTGGGTATGTTTTGTCTTCCATTTCTGTTTTATTTTTTTATGTTTCATCATACCATAAATTGGAGTATAATTGCTTCAAAATGTTGTGATAGTTTCTTCTGTACAACAAAGTGAATGAGCTACATGTGTACATGTATCTCCTCAGTCTTGAGCTTCCCTCCCAACCCCCCAACCCCCATTCTACCCCTCCAGGTCATCACAGAGCACAGAGGTGAGCTCCCTGTGCTAAACAGAAGCTTGCTGCTATCTATCCATTTAACTCACGGTAGTGTATATATATCAATGTCACACTCCCAATTTGTCCCACCCTCCCCTTCCCCCACTATGTCCACATGTCTGTTCTCTATATCTACTTTTCTATTCTTGCCCTGCAAATAGGTTCATCTGTACCATTTTTCTAGATTCCATATATAGGCATAAATATACAGTATTTGGGCTTCCCAGGTGGCACTAGTGGTAAAGAATTTGCCTGCCATCACAGGAGACAAAAGAGATGCAGGTTCGACCCCTGGGTCAGGAAGATCCCCTGGATAAGGGCATGGTAACCCACTCCAGTATTCTTGCCTGGAGAATCCCATGGACAGAGGAGCCTGGTGGGCTACAGTCCACAGGATCACAAACAGATGGACATGACTGAATCAACTTAACACACATACCATATTTATTTTTCTGATTTACTTCACTCTGTATGACAGACTCTAGGTCCATCTACATCACTGCAAATGAGCTAATCTTGTTTAAGGCTGAATAAGATTCCATTGTATTTCCATGTATCACAGCTTTATCCATTCATCTGTCAATAGACATGTAGGTAGTTTGCTTCCATGTCCTGGTCAGTGCTGCAGTGAACATTGGGGTACATGTGTCTCTTTGAATTATGGTTTTCTCAGAGTATATGCCCAGTAGTGGGATTGCTGGGCCATATGGGAGTTCTATTTTTATTTTTTCAGGAACCTCCATACTGTTCTCCATTGTGGCTGTATCAAATTACATTCCCACCAACAGAGCAAGGGGGTTCCCTTTTCTTCACAGTCTCTCCAGCACTGTTGTTTGTAGATTTTTTTTTTAACTTTTTATGTTGAGGTATAGCTGATTTGTTTGTAGATTTTTTGATGATGGCCATTCTGACTGGTGTGCAGTGATGCTTCATTGTAGTTTTGATTTGCATTTCTCTAATAATTAATGATGTTGAACATCTTTTCGTGTGTTGAGCATCTTTTCATCTGTTATGTCTTCTTTGGATAAATGTCTACTTGGATCTTCCACCCATTTTTTTGATTGGATTGTTTTATATTGAACTGCATGAGCTGCTTGTATAGAGATTAATCCTTTGTCAGCTACTTTGCTTGCAAATATCCTCTCCCATTCCAAGGGCTGTCTTTTCTTTTTTTTAAAATTTTTTTTCATTTATTTTTATTAGTTGGAGGCTAATTACGTTACAATATTGTAGTGGTTTTTGCCATACATTGACATGAATCAGCCATGGATTTACATGTGTTCCCCATCCTGATCCCCCCTCCCGCCTCCCTTCCCATCCGATCCCTCTGGGTCTTCCCAGTGCACCAGCCCTGAACACTTGTTTCATGCATCCAACCTGGGCTGGTGATCTGTTTCACCCTTGATAGTATACTTGTTTCAATGCTATTCTCTCAGAACATCCCACCCTCGCCTTCTTCCACAGAGTCCAAATGTCTGTTCTGTACATCTGTGTCTCTTTTTCTGTTTTGCATATAGGGTTATCATTACCATCTTTTTAAATTCCATACATATGCATTAGTATACAGTGTTGGTCTTAATCTTTCTGGCTTACTTCACTCTGTATAATGGGCTCCAGTTTCATCCATCTCATTAGAACTGATTCAAATTAATTCTTTTTAATGGCTGAGTAATATTCCATGGTGTTTATGTACCACAGCTTTCTTATCCATTCATCTGTTGATGGGCATCTAGGTTGCTTCCATGTCCTGGCAATTGTAAACAGTGCTGTGATGAACATTGGGGTACACGTGTCTCTTTCAGATCTAGTTTCCTTGGTGTGTATGCCCAGGAGTGGGATTGCTGGGTCATATGGCAGTTCTATTTCCAGTTTTTAAAGGAATCTCCACACTGTTCTCCATAGTGGCTGTACTAGTTTGCATTCCCACCAACAGTGTAAGAGGGTTCCCTTTTCTCCACACCCTCTCCAGCATTGCTTGTAGACTTTTGGATAGCAGCCATCCTGACTGGTGTGTAATGGTACCTCGTTGTGGTTTTGATTTACATTTCTCTGATAATGAGTGATGTTGAGCATCTTTTCATGTGTTTGTTAGCCATCTGCATGTCTTCTTTGGAGAAATGTCTGTTTAGTTCTTTGGCCCATTTGTCTTTTCATTTTATGGTTTCCTTTGCTGTGCCAAAGCGTTTGAGTTACTAGGTCTCATTTATTTTTATTACTCTAGGAGGTGGGTCAAAAAGGGTCTTGCTGCGATTTATGTTGGAATATTCTGCCTGTTTTCTTCTAAGAGTTTTAGAGTGACTGGCCTTATATTTAGTTCTTTAATCCATTTTATTTTTGTGTATGGTGTTAGGGAATGTTCTAATTTCATTCTCTTACATGTAGCTGTCCAATTTTTCCAGCACCACTTACTGAAGAGGCTGTCTTTTCTCCACTGTGCATTCTTGCCTCCCTTGCCAAAGACACAGTGACTGTGGGTGTGTGGGTTTATCTCTGGGCTTTCTATCTTGTTCCATTGGTCTATATTTGTTTTTGTGCCAGTAGCATACTGTCTTAATTACTGTAGCTTTGTAGTATAGTCTGAAGTCAGAGTTGTCTTCCATTTCTGAGGATGGACCCCAGAAAATAAAGCCCAAAGTCTCAGATTCTGACACTGCCAAAAGCAGAACAAAATTAACATAGTAAATCTGAATTTTGGGGGTGGGCCTCCACTGTTCTAGTTGCCCTGAAATCAAATGAACCTTGCACTGATGAATATGCCCAATTCTCCTTCTCCCCACTGTAGACACACAAAAGGGCACTGACTTTCCTAACAGATGTTTCAAGCACCTGAAGTTTCTGGAGCAAGATTAATCCTTGCGTCTGCATCAAGCTAACTTGCATTTGAAGCCTACTTCCCAAAGGATATTGAGTTTAACATATCACGAACACATACCTTTCTAGGTCACCTGTTCTTTCCACTTTTGAAAGAAACAAAGCTCCTAGGAAAATACACCATGATAAGCAAGTTGCTTCAAACTTGCTTATTCTACCCATACTTATTTCACGTGACACTTTCTACTGTATGTGCTTGCATTCCTGAGAATGGAAACAGGAAAGGGCTGGGCCGGCTTAATTTGACCCACCTTGTGTCCAGAAGCGTAACAAAGGGTGTCATGGTTAGACCATCTTTTCAAACCTAATAGCCACCTCTTTTGACCTTTCTTCCTTGCTCTCCAATTCCAGACTTTCTGTGAATAAGACATGTCAACAGCGCCACCTCTGGGCAGCATGTGATTCCTCTCAGCTTCCTAGCCCCAAATCAGCAGAAGAAATGCCCTAATTTGGGGGCAATGGATCAAGGTGACATTGAGTGCCCTGAGAGGGTGAGAGGAATGGTGCACAGGGTCTCTTGGGAGCCATTTCCAATGTGGAGATTTTGAGATAAGAAAAATTGTCAATCCAACGCCAGGGGACAAGCACAGTTCCTTATACCTGGGGGTGGGAAAGAGCGTGTGGTTCTTTGCATCTTGATTCCTACTGGGAAAGCACAAGGAGTATCCTGGGCTGACAGGATAAACGATCTTAGGAGCAATGGGAGCTCTGCACCACTCCCTTCTCTGCTCCAGACCAACAAAAGCTGGACAGTGGGAAACACAGTGCTTTTCATACCATAGCTTGATCCATTTGTCTGGAGATAAAGAATGGGAGGATGAGGAAGGTAGGTGATCAGGCTGTGGAGAAGGGCTCAGTAAACACCCTACTGAATCAATGAACAAAGCTGCTGGGAGAAACCTGTACCCTGGGGCAGGCTGGGGCAGCCAGTGCTGCAATTCCCCTTTAGTCTGAGTCCTTGGTGCTCAACCACAGCTCTGCAGACCAAGTTCAGAGCATTCATTGCCACTCTGGATGCTCCAAATGTCACCTTCTAACTGGGATGTTAGTTGGAAGTTGGGAAGACCTCTCAAACAGGTGGGTCAAGATCCAAAGCCTGACCCAGGGCTATCATGCTATGCCCCAGACTGGATACCGGAACTGGTAGGGAAACAGTCAAGCCACTGGTGCCAATGACTAGGCACTGTTCTTATACCTGAGGGAGGCAGGAGATGAAACACGGCGTTTCTAGGGACAACACATGGTGTTGCATCTTTATTCTATGTCTGGTCACAGCAAATCTCACACACTCAGAACTGCAGCCAGGCTGAGTGCCACGGGGCTACAAGCAGGTGAAGGAAAGGAAGACCGTCTATCTAATCTGTTGTTTGCAAACACTCTGGATGGAAAGCACAGATGCCCCTCTAGGCACTCGGAGGTGACGAAGCCACATTCCCATCTCCAGACCCCAGAGGCATCTCTGAAGGGAGACAGATTCTCACTTGGAGCTTCCAAAATCCAGGGCACCTCTGGAACCCAAGCCTGGTTCCAACAAGTCACTCTGAGTCCAGGCTCCACTGCTGATGGGAGCATCCGGAGCTGGTGTCAAGGCAGCCTGGGGGCTGAAAAGGGCCTCAGGCTGGACCACAGAGCAGCCCGGGGAGGAAAGGGGCCCTGGGGCTCAGGGCCGACGATCCTTCCTGCGGAGCTTGTGTCCCACCTGGGAGCCCCGCTGAGCAGCTCTCACCAGGCCCTTGAACTGCCCCTGTAGCTTCATCTTCTTCCTGCAAGAACAAGGAATAGGAGGGTCACGTCTCCCTGAGACCAGGCAGTCCCCCTTCCCTTAATGTCAGAAGATAGCCCCCGACCCCGACACCAGCTTGAACAGGGAGAAGGGGCGCTGCCAGGAGGTGGGCAGCATGTGATCAGCACAGAGCATGCCCTTTGTGTTTAACAGAGCAGTTCAAGTCAATAATACTTGAAGGTGCACGTGAACAAGTAAAAACAGAAAACTGGAAGAGACTTGAGCAGTCAAGTGGACAGTGTAATGAGCGCGTGCCACCCCAGCCTGCACACACCGTACCTGCGGTTGAGCTTGGTTCTGTTGAGGGGGATGTAGGCGTAGGGGTCGAGCCGACCCTTCTTCTTCACGTCACCCTTTGCTTTCTGCTCACCCAGAGAAATAGAGTCAGTCGGGAGTGTGGGTTTCCCTTTCCACCCTTGCCCCTGTTGTGACAAGCTGTGTCCTCCCTTCCTGTCATTCTCTGCCTCAGGTGGCACCCAAGAGCTCCTGCACCCCCAGATGGCCACCCAACAGAGGCCTGGACCACAAGACATCTGTGTGCCCCTCGGTGTGGCCTCATGCTGGCTCCACAAAAGGTGCCTCTTGGGGTGCTGATGGGCATTCGTCCCCAGAGCCCCTACCAGGGGAGCCCTTCCCCTGCCCCCAGCTCTTACCTTTGCCTTGTACTCAGCCCCAGGGATAGTCTTCTTGGCCACTGGGCGATGGATGCCAGAGCCTCCCGCTAAAGGGGGAACACAGAGGCCATGAGTCAGGCAAGGCCAGGGTACCTCCTCCTGGGAGAAGGCGACAGGCACCTTCTCAGAACGCTGCTGGGGAGATGAGTCACTGCCAGGACCAGATGACTATCCCCTAGCAACAAAGGACGAAGACCCTCTTCGAGAAAGGACTGGCCAGTGACTTGACAATCAGACCACTGGGCTCCTCAGACTGATTCAAATCCACAAAAACCTACCAGTGACCTCTGGGAAATATATATATTCTTGACTAACATAAAACAGCACACAGTCTCCAAACTGGACCTTCTCCATCTGCTCTAGAAGAAAGATCACAGGCTTTGAAATCAGGAAGACTGGGCTTCAACTCCAGGAAAGACTCTTAACTTCCTGGAGCCTCTTAGGCTTATTTGTCAAATGAGGCACTAAGGCTGGATCTCAATTCAGCTTCACAGTAACACCGTGAGATAGAAAGGCAGCTCTCATCCCATTGTACAGACATGAAAACTGAGGCTTCAAGACTGAAGTGCTTCCAAAGTCGGTGTCATTTCCAGTCTGGGCTTCCACATAGTCATGGATGGAATCCCACAGTGCTGACTGAGGACAGCTCTCTGAGATGACCCAGATGATCCTCCTTTACAGGTAAGAAGCCAGAAGCTCAAAGAGGTAGCGTAACCAGGCCAAGGTCACACAGCTGAGAGCAGCTGGGCAAGCAGTCCTGAACCGAGGCTCCTGCTGCGCTGTATGCTACTACCACTTCTTCACCACACCTTCTTAGAGCAGAGGAGGTGAGCTGGGATGCGGCCTGTGGGGCCAAGAAGTGGAAGGAGCCATGGCATTCTTCTACTGGTTGATGCCATGGGGCTGTGAACAAACACTTGATACTGGGATCGGGGACTTCCTACACGAGCCTCTAGAACTCCAGATGCAGAGCAAGGGCCTGGGAGCAGGGACCCTGCAGGGGCTCCCTGGGGGGATGGAGGCAGAGGTGAAACCTCCCCTGGCTTTAGGCAGCCACCTTGGTACCTCTAGCAGCTACTCCAGGAGCTCAGGAACAACTGCACAGGGGGACTCCCTGGGCAGGCCTCTCAACTGCCACCCCCAGCACAGGACTAATCTGACCTGACCCAAGGTCGTATGAGACACCCCCCAGAAGGGTGGGCTGCAAGTCTCAGAAAATCTTGTGTGGGTGGGCCTAGAGGCTTCCCAGAGGGGCTGGAGGATCTGTACACAGATCTAACCCCCAGGTCCCCTGGTCCTCAGCCCAGTCTTAGGTAACGTATCAGGCAAACTTTGCTGGTGTCACCTGAGTGCAACCAGGCCTTGCAATCTCTTGGCTCTCCCTGCAACACACTCAGCCTAGTGCAGATGACAGGGTACCTGCTCCAACAGAGAAGACAGGAAGCCTCACCTTGGTACTGAGGGGGCATCTCCAGCTCTTCGTCGTCAGCCTCTTTCTGCTTAAGCTTCTGGTGCTTTTTCTATAAAGAAGCAACAAGCAAAGTTCATGAACAAGGGGACGTGATCATACTCGCTAATGGCAGCAGTAAAAGCAGGCGTCGCCTGCATTAGCAGAAAAGGCTCCCTGCCAAGCACTTGATCCCCCACTTACAGATGATGACACTGAAGCTCAGAGAGGGCAAGTAACCAGGCAAGGTCACACAGCTAGGCAGCACAGATGTGGGGTTACATTTTTAACAACCCCTATGACCTTGGGCAGGCTGCTTACCTACTGTGGCCCCCTCTGGAAACAGGAATGATATAGTCCCCACCTCCTGGGAGGATCAGTGAAGCGACACGTGGGGCTCTTGGCACTCCCCAATGGTAGGTACCCAACCCCACATGGAGCCGGCCCGTGGCAGCACGGAGGCCGGCTACTGCCCCTGCTGCCTGCATAGCATATGCCCTCGGGGGAAAGATAAGGGACCGTCTCTCCCTTCCTGGTGACAGCGCAGCCAACACCGAAGGAAGCACCGGGTGCTTCGGGGGACCCAAGCCCCCACCATGCCCTGCAAAGGGGGTGGCCGTGACATCACAAGCTCCAGACTGCCTGCTATGCGCACTCCCAAGGCTCCACTGAGAAGTCAGGAAGCAGGGCAGGTGACTCTGCGGAGCAGGGAGGTGGCGAGAAGCTAGAGGCCCAAGGCTTAGGTCTGAGGGCCCCGGCCCTCTGGCAGCAGGAATCACTACTCACACTCTTGACGCCTACGTCTTCCATCAGGTCAACCAGCTCCTCATCCTCCCCTGGAACCAGAAAGAGAGAGGTCTGTGATCACGCAGGGACCTCCCCACTCCGTCTTCCCGAAGCCCACAAATTTCAACCTGCCTCCTCCCGGCTCGTCAGGCTCCACTGGTCCTGTGGAGGACGAGATCATGACTCCTGACCCTTCCTCCTCCCCATCCTGGGCCCCCTGGACAAAAGTCCCTCCAGGAAGTGGTGACCCGATTTCTAAAGTAAATACAGCTTTTTCTTTGGATACTCTAAGAAAGTGCCAGGTTTCCTGGGGAGCCAGGCACTCCTGCATACACTCCACTTCTCTAGGAAGACTGCCAGTTCCCCTACTTGAGAATCTTTCCCCTCCCCATGTGTGGGGACATAAAGAAGCATGAACTAACAAAAAGCACAGGCAACAAAAATAAAGATAAATAAATTAAACTCCATTAAAAATGTTAAACTTGTGTGTGTCAAAGATGAAGGTCCCAGGATGAAAAGGCAGCCTGGAGGATACGAAAGTATTTACAAATCATACATCTGATAAACGGTTACTCTCCAAGATAGTAAAAGATTGTGAAAAGAAGAGAAGCGAAAAGCAAAGGAGAAAAGGAAAGATATACCCATTTGAATGCAGAGTTCCAAAGAACAGCAAAGAGAGATAAGAAAGCCTTCCTCAGCAATCAATGCAAAGAAATAGAGGAAAACAATAGAATAGGAAAGACTAGAGATCTCTTCAAGAAAATTAGAGATACCAAGGGAACATTTCATGTAAAGATGGGCTCAATAAAGGACAGAAATGGTATGGACCTAACAGAAGTAGAAGATATTAAGAAGAGGTGGCAAGAATACACAGAAGAACTATAAAAAAAAGATCTTCACAACCCAGATAATCATGATGGTGTGATCACTCACCTAGAGCCAGACATCCTGGAATGTGAAGTCAAGTGGGCCTTAGGAAGTTATCACTATGAACAAAGCTAATGGAGGTGATGGAATTCCAGTTGAACTATTTCAAATCCTAAAAGATGATGCTGTGCAAGTTCTGCACTCAATATGTCAGCAAATTTAGAAAACTCAGCAGTGGCCACAGGACTGGAAAAGGTCAGTTTTCATTCCAATCCCAAAGAAAGGCAATGCCAAAGAATGCTCAAACTACTGCACAATTGCACTCATCTCACACGCTAGTAAAGTAATGCTCAAAATTCTCCAAGCCAGGCTTCAACAATACGTGAACCGTGAACTTCCAGATGTTCAAGCTGGTTTTAGAAAAGGCAGAGGAACCAGAGATCAAATTGCCAACACCGGCTGGATCATCAAAAAAGCAAGAGAGTTCCAGAAAACATCTATTTCTGCTTTATTGACTATGCCAAAGCCTTTGACTGAGCAAGAGTTAGAACTGGACATGGAAAAACAGACTGGTTCAAAATAGGAAAGGAAGTATGTGAAGGCTGTATATTGTCAACCTGCTTATTTAACTTATATGCAGAGTACATCATGAGAAATGCTAGGCTGGAGGAAGCACAAGCTGGAATCAAGATTGCTGGGAGAAATATCAATAACCTCAGATATGCAGATGACACCACCATTATGGCAGAAAGTGAAGAAGAACTAAAGAGCCTCTTGATGAAAGGGAAAGAGGAGAGTGAAAAAGTTGGCTTAAAACTCAACATTCAGAAAACTAAGATCATGGCATCCAGTCCCATCACTTCATGGCAAATAGATGGGGAAAGAGTGGAAAGAGTGGCTGACTTTTTTGGGTTCCAAAATCACTGTAGATGGTGATTGCAGCCATGAAATTAAAAGATGCTTACTCCTTGGAAGGAAGGTTATGACCAACCTAGACAGCATATTAAAAAGCAGAGACATTACTTTGTCAACAAAGGTCCGTCTAGTCAGGGCTATGGTTTTTCCAGTAGTCATGTATGGATGTGAGAGTTGGACTATAAAGAAAACTGAGCACAGAAGAATTGATGCTTTTGAATGTGGTGTTGGAGAAGACTCCTGAGAGTCCATTGGACTGCAAGGAGATCCAACCAGTCCATCCTAAAGGAAATCAGTCCTGGGTGTTCATTGGAAGGACTGATGTTGAAGCTGAAACTCCAATATTTTGGCCACCTGATTCAAAGAGCTGACTCATTTGAAAAGACCCTGATGTTGGGAAAGATTGAAGGCAGGAGGATAAGGGGGCGACAGAGGATGAGATGGTTGGATGGCATCACCAACTCAATGGACATGAGTTTGGGTAAACTCCGGGAGTTAATGATGTACAGGGAGGCCTGGCGTGCTGCAGTCCATGGGGTCGCAAAGAGTCAGACACGACTGAGAGACTAAACTGAACTGAACTGAACTCCACGATAGAGAAAGAACTTCTATAGCTAAATAGGAAACAAACAACCCAATTCAAAAATGCACAAAGGACTTGAGTAGACATTTCTCCGAAAAGACAAATGGACAACAAACATGAAAAGATGCCAAATATCACTAATCATTAAGGAAATACAAATCAAAACTACCATGAGAAACCACTTCAAACACTCTAAGATGTATACTATCAACAAAATACAAAACAGCAAGTGTTGGTGAGGATGTAAAGAAATTAAAACGCACTGTTAGCAGGAATGTAAAACGGTACAGTTGTTGAAAAAAACAGTATGGCAGTTCCTCAAAAAATTAAAGACAGAACTACCACATGACCCACTTGTGGGCATATACCCAAGAGAATTGAAAGCAGGATCCTGAAGGGATATTTGTACATTTATGATCATAGCAGCACTATTTACAATAGCCAGAAAGTGGAAGCAATGCTTATGTTGCACTATGTCCACTATTGGATGATGAACAAACAAAATGTGGCCTAGATGTACAACAGAACAAGGTCAGCCTTAAAAAAGAAGGAAATTCTGACATGAGCTATGACATGGATGAACCTTGAGGACATTATGCTAAATGAAATAAGCCAGTCACAAAAGCACAAACATTGAATGATTCCACTTATATGAGGTACCTCAACTCATATTCAAATTCACATTAATACAGACAAAAACCAGAACGGTGGCTGTCAGGGGCTGGGGGAGGGGGAAGCGGGGAGTTGCCATTTCATGTGAACAACAGTTTCAGTTTTGCGAGATGAAGAGTTCTGGAGATGGGCTGTACAACAATGTGAGTGAACAGTACACTTAAAAAATAGTTAGGGAATTCCCTGGTGGTCCAGTGGTTAGAACTCTATGCTTCCACCACAAGGGGCATGGGTTCCATCTCTGGTTGGGGAACTCAGATCCTGCATGCCACGTGGTACAGCAGGAAGGAAAAAAAAAAAAGAAAAACACAAGAGAGAGAACTTTGAAATTGATCGGCTGGACGGAAGACAAAGTGAACTGAACCCAATGTCACAGGAAGCATGTGACCAAGTACGGAACCTGGGTGGTTCCTGGGTTTGTGGGGAGTTCTGAGGGAACACAGCTAAGGTCAAGGGACTGTGGGGAGGCCACATTAAGGACTTGCACTGGATCTTAGAGTGGAGAGGGTCTGGGAAGATGGAGGGGGGCCCGGGGCGGGGCACATTCAGTGTCAGGAATCCATGCAAGAAGGGAGCAAGGAGATGGGATACACTGAGATGAGAAGGGGGCAGTGAGAGGCCAGATCAGGAGAGAATTAGTGTCGCCACATCCACCCCCAGCAAGTCTACCATTTCATCTTTACAACCACCCTCTGAGGTCAGTGCTGGTATTACACCCACTGTGGGGTGAGGAAACTGAGGCACAGGGAGGTTAAGGGACTGTCCACCGTCACACAGCTGGTCAGCCTAGCGGCAGGGGCAGCAATGAGAGCGCTAGTTGAGAAGCTGCAGTGTGCCGGCGGTGAGAACCAAAATAAAGAGGAAGACGCAAATTTTAGAAGACCTAGGCTTTTGTGATCTTACACGATATGGAGAGAGAAATGTGCAGAGAGGGAACAGGAAAGACCAAACAGGACTTGGAGGTGTTACACCTGGGCAGCCCTGGACAACAGGAGACAGTGACTCAGGAAGTTGGGAGGGGCTGGCTCTTTTCAAGTTCTAAATGAGCTTCCAGACCTCAGCCAAGTTTACACTTGGAATTAAAAAAAAAAATTTTTTTAAAGGAGGATAAGCAAATAGAACAGAACAGAAGAGAGATCAAGAGAGTGTACGACACAGGCTAAGAGGAAGTACTGCCTTTTGAAAGTTTTGTTTGAATTATGGAAGTATTGAATGAGTAGCTGAGTTACAACATAAAAAGATTTCTTAATGTGGTCAGCAAAGTTTGAGAAACTCAAAAAACTTGAGAAACTCAAAAAAAAAGTTGCTTGAGATACAAGCTCCTTATATCTGTTTTCACCTATGCTTCCCCAAAGACGGTCACTGACTGAATGATGAGTGAATGGACGCATAAGCAAATGCATGCAGCCTTGGCCCCTCCCGCGGGGGCACCCACCTTTGGCGCCTTCCTCTTCCTCCATCTTGGCATTGGCATCCTCCTCCTCTCGGATGATCAGCCGGCCGTCGGCGCTCACCTTGAAGCCGTGGTCCTTCTTCTTGCCCCGGCCCGGTCCAGGCTGCGTGGCTGGTGGGGCAGGGTCAGGCTGTGAGGAGGTGGCAGGCCAGTCCTAACCTGCTCACGCCCTCATCATAACCCTCAAGGCCAGGTCTGCGCCTTGGATGGGAACCCGCAGCACAACCGTGTGTGTATGTGAGAGGTGAGGGTGCCCGCTGGCCTCCTTAGAGGCCATCCTACTTCCAAACTTAGCCCGAGGCAAGCCTGTCCTCTGCGCCCATGGGCCAGCCACTTCTTGCTCACCCAGGACTCGCTGGGCCACCCTGGGGTCCAGGAAGTTGAGGGGCTCGTCCCCGCCCCCCTCCTTCAGCCACGCCCGGCTCCTCTGGCGGGCCAGTCTCCGCTGCTCCTTGCCCCGACTCCGCTCCTCCTCCTCATCTTCCTCATCCTCAGAGTCGGCCAAAATCTCCTCGATGCTAGGGACAGAGAAGCCCCAAGTCAGGGAGCTCCAGGAGAGGCAGGGTGGCTGGGCACGGCCTGGGCAGGCTTCACATGGGGGGAGACCAGGTCCCCAGGACCTGGCCACGGGGCTCACCTGTCGCCTTTGCCCTGGACAGGTTCCTCCTCCTCCTCTTCTTCCTCTTCCACGGCGGCCTGGTTGAGGGCCCGGTGTTTCTTGGCCCGGGACTCTGCTTTCCGGATATTTACCAGGACTTTGTGGTACTCCTCCGGCAGGAGTTTCTTCACCAGCTCGAACCTGGGAGGTGAGGGGGACACACAGGTGAGCAGTGAGGTGCCAGGGACAGACAGTGTGGTCCAGAGTGAGGGGTCCAGCCGGAGCCCTTCCAGTGCCCCGGCCCAGCGCCTTCTTGGCAGTGGTCCTGGTGGGGCTGGAAGCCCCTCCACTCCTCCCCCACTCCCTCCCGGTCAGGGCACAGACCCGAACTTGCGGATGAACTTGGTGAACAGGTTCCGAAGCTTCATGCGGAAGTGCCGCCGCATGTCGTCCGAGAGCTTTCCGATGGCGCCCATCTGCGGGGCAGAGCGCAGGCTTGAGGGGAGGAGGCACCCTGCCCCGTCTGTCCCCCACCCCATGGGCTTCCCCTGGTTCCATGCGTCCTGACTCCAGCCTTCCTGAGCTCTGGACTGAGACCCGTGTGGCCAGCAGGTGTCATCTGCGGTGTCCCTCCATGGGGCTCCTCTGAAGGCATGTATTGATCCCCGTCACTCACAGACGAGTCACCGCCTAGGCCGTTCTGCCGATCCATGGCCCCAGTTAGGTGGCAGGCTTTATCGGGAGGGGGTAGGCTGTCCTGCCTCTCATCTGCCCCTTCTTGCCTTGACCCAACCAAGGCCAGATGCAAAGGCAATTGAGAGCCCTGATGTGACTCAACCCAGCTGCAAGTGGGAAAGTGAGGTGGCAGGTGCAGGGGACAGTGGGCTCAAAGACAGTCCCACTTGCTGCATCCCTTGTGCCCAGCAGAAGGGGGCCAGGGACCCAGCACCAGAGGGTTCTTCAGGGACCCGATACCAGCAGAGGCATCCAAAGGAGTCTTCTCAAACCCAGAAGATCACAATGAAGAGGGAAAATGCAAAGGGAGCTTTGGGGGCTGCCCGAGGAAAGCCCAGGCTGCGGCTCTGTTCCCAGGACTACTCTCACCTGCGCTGCGGACAGGGGAAATCTGGCCTTGGTTGGCCATCTAAGACAAGGGGTGGCCCTACCCACTGGCCCTGCCCTGCAGAGCCCCTGCTGCGATGGAAAGGCCGTGGGGGGATGACAAGAGGCAGCCTGGGCGCTGTGCCCCTTTACCTCCACCACCAGCCCCTCCGGGGCTCCTGCACGACCTTCTGCTGCACGAGACAGCATGTGGCTAAGAAAGTGTCTGAAGCCGCCTGTCCTCAAGACCCCACTGGGTCTTTGCCGGCAGCCCTCAGGCCATGTTGCCACCGGCCGAGGGGAAGGGGACACTCACCACCAGCTGCACGTGCTTGGCCAGGTGCACCACGTCCATGACGACCACTGCCACCTTGATGAAGCCCAGCGCTGACTTCACCACGTCGCGGGTACGCGAGGCCAGAAGCAGACACACGTTCTCCAGCAGCTGCTCCACTGTGCTGGTCCCCATTAGACCTATGGTGGCCAGAGGGCCACTGTCAGGGACACCGGGAACCCCACCCAGACGCCAGGCCCCAGCTGGGCCAGAAGAGTGGGAGCTGACCCGAGGGGCTTCCGTGTGCCCAGCAAAGGACTAGACCCTGTCCACGAATATCTCCTCTAGTCCCTCGGCCACCCTATGAACAGGTGCTATGCTTTTCCCCTGTTTTAGAGGTAAGAGACTAAGTTTCCAGGAGAATTCTGAGTTTGTTCAGGGTTTCACAAGGCTGATAAGAAGCAGAACCTTAACTAAGATCTGGGCAAGGGATCTAACCGCCCCCACCCCTGCCCTCCGGAACTCTGACAGTAGAATACTGGCAGCTGCGGAAGGAGGAAGGCCGAGCTAGGCAGCGGAGAAGGTGGGAGGCAGCTGGGCTCGGGTCCTGCTCTTCATCCTCCCTCCCAGGACCACTCTCCATTCTGGTAGCCACCCTGTCCTGACTTCCTGGGTATTGTCCTTCCCCGAGGGTTTCCCAGGCCTTCAAGGAAATAGCGTTTACCTTTAAACTCGAAGAGGAGGTGGGTCAGGGCCAGGATGCTGCAGCTGACCATGGTCACTGCGCCCACGAGGCCGGGGTAAATGAGGACAAGGTAGCGCTGCAGGGCCTCTGGGGGGCAGAGAGCAGGAGGAGTTGCCGGGGCAGAGCCCCCCATGTGCGATGCATCGTGGGCCCACCAGGAAGGGGGAATTCCAGCCAGAGAGGAGCAGCCTGCCTGGGGCCAGGGCCAGACAGCTCACACTACCTCATCTCTCTGACTAGTGGCTGAGGGGTACCTCCTCCCCCAGGCTGGAAGCAGAGCATCCATCCCAGCCCCAGGTCACCCAGGCCTCACCTTCCTGGTTTGGGCCAAACCGAAGGAAAGCGTGGCCCATCTCCACCAGCAGCGCGAAAGCATTCTTCCGGGCCCCCACCGAGACCTCCTTGGTACAGAGGATCACCTGCCAGGACAGCCCCGTTAGCATGGGCTCCCCAAGCTGGCCACCCCAGGGCTGGCAGCCTGAGGCAGAGGGGCCAGGTAAGGGCGCTCAGGCTCCCCGGCCACCCCCACTCCCATATCTGCCCTCCCAGATCCGAGCAGACCTTCAGGAGCCACATTCACACACGCGCCCCATCTCCCCTACCCCCCGCACCCCTCACCTCCGGGACAAGGGCGCTGATGAACTCCTCGTGCTCGGCTGAGAGCTTCTTCACAATGTGTGTGAGGCACTTCAAACGGGGCTGCGGGACAGGGCGATAACAGTCAGGGCCCTCAATGCCACCTCCGCCCCGGAAGCCCCCTGAAGTGTCTCCAGGCAGGTCCTCCCCCAGTGTTGCCCGTCCACCCTCGGGCGGAGCGGGGCCCCTGGAGTCCTCACCCTCTTGGCGGGCGAGGAGGTGCTCCGCAGCGAGCCCAGCAGGGTCTTCTTCAGGTCGTCCAGGTGGCTCTGCACAAAGCGGGCCCCGGGGCCCTGGGGGCTGGCGCACACCTCCTCCAGCACACGGTAGGCCTTCTTCTGTACCCCGTGGGCCTTGCTCTGGGAAGGTGTGTGATGGACAGGGTGAGAAAGGAGGCTGGGGCGGCCTCCCATCCGTCCACCCGCCTCAACCGTCACTCAGCCCAGTAACACCCACAGAGTAGCCACATGAGCTGTGACCGGCCCTGGAGGGGACCCAGCGAAGCCCGCCCTCTGGAGCTGGTGACACCCCACTAGAGGGAAGGGAGACCAGAGATGGTGAGAGGTTGACTCTGGGCCAGGCAGGGGACGCCAGTGGGAGTGAAGCCCCCCTCCCTCCCTTCTGCTCTTCCAGGGACACCTCTCTGGAGGTGGGGCGACCCTGGCCTAGACTTGTGTGTCCGCCTGCACGTTCCACCCAGGGCACTGCTCACACTGCTGGGTAACTGCTTATTACACGTTGCAGTGGTGACCGTTTTCAGGAGGTCACGCTGGCCTGACTCTGGCCTGGGGGACGGGCTAAGGCCCACAAGGGCTGCTGTGTCTGGAACTCTTAGAGCCACCTAATGAGGCATGAGTGGCAGCAGGGGGATGAGGTTGGGTGGAGTGAAGGGTAGGCCAGGCGGGGATGGGCCCAGTGAGTGAGTTAGGTCTCAGCTCTGCAAGGGGCATCTTTGAGCAGCTGAGGTCTCAACACGGCATCCACATGACAAGAGTCTAGGACTAGATAGGTACAGAGGGCAGCCATGCCACAAGAAACTAGATGAAGACCCAGTCTTGGGCGGCAGCAAGGCATAGAGACAGAGAGACATCCTCCTACACACACACCCCACAAGGAGCCTCCACTCTCCCCAGGTGTGGTCGTGCGGGGCTCCTGGCCTCCGTGGCTCACCTCTAGGTAGGGCCGGATGGTGGAGTAGAGCTTGCTGATGGCGGCTTCATCAGCATGGGGAGCCAAGGCCACAACCAGGTCCAGGACAGACAACCTGCTCGGCGACAGGAAACCAAGGAGGGGCTTAGCGGAGGCTGGGGAAGGGCGTGGGCGTGGACTATCTGTGTCCTTGTGTCTACTGGGGACGGAGGAGGTGGGAAAGGTCAGGGGGAGGAGGACAAGCGGCCTCGAAGGAGCTCATGAATAATCACTGCCTGTACCTAATTCAGCACTCATAAGATATCAGCTACTGTTCCTGACACTTGACATGTGTCAACACCTTCGATCCTCATAGCAACTCTATTTGCAGGTACTATCATTATGCCCATTTTACAGATGAGGGCTCAGAGTAGATAAATAACTTGTCCAGGGTCACAGCTCATAAGTGGCAGAGCTGGGATTTGAACCTGCGCAGCACGTCTCCATGGTCCTGGCCCATCCCTAGCAGACTACAATGCTGCTCTGGGAAGGAGGAGCCGGTCAGGCCTCTTGGAGGAGCTGGATCATTCAATACCTCAAGACACTCCTAAATAATTCCAGAGAGAAACACAGGGCTTCTGCTAGCATACCCTCTAGCTCCCTGGGTTGCCCCAGCTCAAGTGGGGTACTCACCTGGTGAAGTCAGAGCTAGAAGGGTCCAGTACCTTCTCACTGGCTTTTTCCAGGAAACCGTTCACCAGCTGGCAGCCCAAAGGGGTAAGGAGATGGTTGTTCAGGAGAAAATACAAAACACACACATAAGAGAAAATTCAAAGCGCAGCAGGTCACAGAACTATCCCCTCGTCTCTGTCCCCTCCTCTCCTCCCTATTTGGGCCCCAAGCCCAGTGCACTGCTGCCATGCGGTCCCCTGTTCTTCTGGGGGCAGAGGTCCAAGTGAGCCATGGTGGGCGGAGTCTCCACTTTTCCAACACCCCCAACCACCCCTCACCTACCGGAGACCGTTCCTCTCGCTCCTCCACCAGCTCACCTGAGGCTCAGTAATGGTGAGGTAAGTTTTGATGGTTTCCAGCACGGCCCGCCGAGGAGCAGGGGTATCTCCGGCTGCAACAGGCTGCCCATACAGGTTGAACAGGATGGGCAGAAAGTTCTTGGCAAAGCGGCTCACTTCAGCACGATCAGCCTCTGGCAGAAAGACCAAAGTTTGCACAAAAGGGGCAGAACATGACCCCACCTCAACGGCCACTGGGGCTACAGCCCAGAGGCTTTCTTTTGGGGCACCTGTTATGGGACCAGAGGTCTGGGGTCCTCTGGGACAGGAGAGGCTGAGGCCAGAGGACAGAGAATGGGGCCACCCCAGTCTATGGGGCCAGCGAAGGACCAGCCCCACATAAAGGCTGGACAACTGCCAGCATGTTGAGAGTAAAGAGAGAAAGGGGGCAGTTTTCAGCGTCCCATCAACTCCTCGGGTCCCCAGCAGACACTCAGACCCTTGCAGAGGATGAGTGATAGCTCAGGCAACGAGCAGGCCAGACGGGGTCAGGGAACTCATGCCACAGCAGCCATCCTCCACCAGGCCTGACCCCACACGTACCTGCCTCACAGCCCTTGGTGATAAGGGTGCGCAGGGCCTGGCACACGGTGACCCTCAGGTCTGGGCGCTCACTGATGGCTGTGCCCAGAGTCCGTGCCAGCCCTTTGAAGGCAGCAGCCACGTCCGTGGGCCTCGTGCAGAACCCAGGCAGGAGGGTCCAGATCTGGAGAGGGAGAGGATGACAGAGGAAGGTGACGCGCGGCAACCCTGTGCCCACCTGTCCTCCCCACGTCCCCCAGCGGACCCCTTACCTGCCACTGTAGCGTGTCATAGATCTTGGACTCCACTGTGCTGCCTGCCTGGGCCAGGTCCATTGCTAGAGTGACACAGGACACAGTCTGACCCTGGGCACAATCCTGGCCAACAGGCCATCTTTACCCACACCAAAAGCCCACTGATGCAGAAGGAATTTGGGTGATTCCTCCACTCCACAGATGAAACACTTATTAAACAAATACCTGTTTGTTTGGAAAAACTAAAAAGACCTGTGTAAAATAGAAAGCGATGTCTGCCCACAGTCTTTCCCCGCCAATCTTCCTCCTTGCTTCTGTTTTTGTCACATTTCTCCAAACACATGCACACTTTTAAAAACATAACAGTGTGCTGTACTATACACATACTGTTCTGTAACCTTGTTTTACTGGACAATAAAATTGGCAACATTTGTTGAATAACTTCTACAAGGCAGGCTGAGTACCATGCACTTTCGTGATTATTCATTTAATCCTCACACCATCGCGATTACTGTCCTCATTTCACAGATGAGGCGCAGACCTAAGTTGGGGGGGATAAACCTGCCTGATGTCACCAAACTGTGGAGTGGCTGAGCTGAGATCTGAATATAATCTGTTCAGCTCACCATGGACTACACAGGTCCATTCCCACATCAGGTCTGTCTTTCTTTACAGTGAGCATTGTGTGTCCCATGGGGGGCTTTACCATGACTGCCTTCACTGGAGCCCCCCTGAGGGATGTGGGGCTGTCAGGATGTGTACTGGGAACAGCTCTGCATGTGTATATCGGTGTGTACCTGTCTCCCGTGGTGGGAGATGAGGCCCCTGTCTGCCTGTCTCAGGGCAGGGTCCTGTAATGGGGACCTGGCCATGCCTCGGGCCCCACTGATGACAGCGCTCTAGCACTGGCCAAGCACCCACTTGGCCGGGGGAGGCTGCCGCACATCCTAATGCTGAGGTGCTGAAGCAGGAGCCCTTCCCAACCCCTCCAGGATTGCAGTGCCCACGGTACCTTTCCTCTTCAGGGTGGTGGCCAGAGGCAGGAAGTAAGCGGTAAAGAAACCAAGTCGTGTTTCCCGGACGTGGTCTCGGATGACGGGCAGCAGCCAGCTCCGGGGGAAATCCAGAGTCTCTCTGGGAGGAGGGAGGGAACGCCCGGTGAGAGAGAGGTGACGGCCTGGAGCCGTTCTCCACGAGGCCAGGAGCAGCACAGACCCTGTTCCGCCCTCTCCTGCTGACCAGCGTGCAGGGCGTGGATGCCCTCCCAGGGGACCAGCTGCATGGCTCTCCTGATACTGGGATGGAAGCCAGGCAGGGCAGCACTTACTCCGAGCCGTCGATTTCCAAAGGCACAGCCTCTAAAACCACCTCAGGGCCCATGCTGGCCACCGCAGCCCCCACCGCGCGGTCCAGAGCTGCCGTGTGGGGGAAGTGGGGGGAGAGGCGCAGGTCACACAGCGACTGCAGGCACTACAGCACGGAGACAAGGACCAGGCATGAGACGGGTGTGCAGGGCAGGTACCACGGCTGAGTCTAGGCCAGAGGCTCCAAGAGGATGAGGTCAGGAGCGCGGGCCCGGCTTATGCTCCCTGGGAAGTCAAGGACCAACGACCAAAGTTAACCTGTCCTTGACCCCTCCTCAATGCCTCAGGATTCTGTAAAAAAAAAATTCTGTATTTGTTAGTAACATGTAAAAATCAGGAGATTTTACATACAAATGTAGAGCTCCAGTTTATCTAGAAAAATGGGAAAGTCTGGGTAGCACAAACCCACACATACTATTAGTAAATTAATAGGTGCTGTGCAGTGGCTGCCCCCTGAGACAGAGCTGCACCCTCTGGCTCTCCATAGTCCCCCAAAGCCCTGCTGTGAGCCTCACTCTTTGGGGACCTCTCCTAGGGGTCTGATTTGCCAGCCTAATCTGGTAGCACCCAGACCAGGCCTCTCAAGGCAGCCCCCACCCTCCCAAGGTGGCTCCTTTCATCCCACCAGAATCAGGGGGAGGTAGTGAGGGGGGCCCACGAGGCCTGGAGCTGCTCCACTGCTAGAGAGAGGTCTGCAGCCTGTCCCTGGGCCCCCACCTGCTCCTGGAGCTAAGGAGGACCTCTGGGTGATCCCTGAGACTTACATGGCTTCCTCTGGGCCCTAGTAACCTCCCCAGGTTAACATGCTATTAGCTGCCTAACATGCTATTCTCACTTGTTATAGGAAATTTGAAGAATTAAAACAAAACAGACAGAGGAGAGGAAGAATCATACTAGTTCCCTGTGAGTTTTAAAACCATCACCTCCAGGCAAGACTAGCAAGCAGGCATTAGGGCGTGGGGGTGGGGGTTGGTTCTGTCCCTCTTCTCGTTCCTTCCATGTTGGCCCAGTCACCTTCTTGGGGACACAGTACTGAGCACCTGCTGTGGGCCCTTGGTGTGGATGAAGGTGGGTAGGGAGTGTGGATGAAGTGCAGACGTAACAGAGACACATGCCCCTCCAAGAGGTCATGGTCTAACAGCCCCAGCGCCACCTCCTGCCCTGGCCCAGCCGCTCCCCCACTCACCTTTTTCATCACAGGATGGGCCTGCCTCCCACAGGCTTCGAAGAAGACACACAGCAGCTGCAGCACAGAGCTCCATGCTGCATGGAATCTGTACGTCAGGCCCTCCTCCACCGCCCTGCCAAGGGAGTGGGCAGTCAGGGTCACGCAAGTCCATGGCTGGCACCAGGAACTACTGACCACAGCGAGGGTAGGGCTCCAGGGAAGGCCAAGCGGGGAGAACTAGTATTTATCAAGTGCCCTCTATGCTAAGAATCTCATTTATATAATCCTCACACTTCCAGAAAAGGCTGTGAGGTTATTTGTTCCATCCTCAGATGCTGGGAAAGATTGAGAGCAGGAGAAGGGGTTGACAGAGGATGAGATGGTTGGATGGCCTCATTGACCTGAGTTTGAGCAAACTCCGGGAGATAGTGAAGGACAGGGAAGCCTGGCATGCTGCAGCCCATGGGGTCACAAAGAGTCAGACACGACTTAGTGACTGAACAACAACAACAGATGGGAAAACTGAGGCTCAGAGAGACTAAATAACCTTCACTGAGCCTCCAAAGCCCATGCTTTCTCAGTCTGACCAGAGGTAGGAAGCTGGGGTAGGAACAGGTGATCTGGATAAGAGGGAGGGAAGCCGCAGTAGTGGAGGTGGGCAGGGCACCAGCCCTTTCTGTCCTATGCACACTGGAGTCAATTCATCTCTCAAGGCTGAGCTTCAGAGGCTTCAGGCAAGAATGGCTAACAGGGGTCAGTGTGGGGAAAGAGGGGAGTTGGGGGGTGGGGTGGGGGTAGAACAGCTCTACTCAGTTTTCCAGAAACTTCACTCCAGGTCTTCGCAAGGAACAGAGCCTAGAGCACACCCCAGAGCTGAGCAGACAGACCCAGAGGGGACACCAGGCATCCGGGCCCCCTGGTGCTCCGAGGCTCCTCGCTGGCAGCAGGGAGGGTGAGGTGGCCGCCTCTGTGAACGGCCCCTCTCACAGTGGTGTCGAGGGCAGCCCAGCACGTAAGAGCAGACTCTGCAGTCAGGCTGCCACTTAGCAGCTCAGCCTTCCCAAACTGTAAAATGGGGCCAGCACCTATCTCCTAGAACCACAGAACTACCAGTAGTTTCTATTTATTGGGGCTTGACTACACGGCGGGCACTATTCTGTGGACTTTACTTTTAAGACCTCATCAGTCCTCACCTCCATCAGCCTGATTAGAACCCTGAGGTACTGAGAGGCGGAGGACAGGCCCCCAAGCCCACACTCACAAGCACAGTGACACTACAGCACCTGGAATGTGACCAGCGCGCAGATGACAGCTGCTGCTCTGGCAGTGTGTGCAAGGCCCGCCACGCTGACAAGAGGAACCCTTGTCACCACGAGGAGCTCTCGACAGGCACACCCTACTCCCTCCTCATGCAGAGGCTGCATCCTCACCTGAACATCTTGGCGATGTACTGGGAAGGGCCTGAGGCCGAGGAGGTCACGGAGCCAATGTCGGCCATGTGGGGAGCGACACACTCTTTCAGGATCTCCTGCAAAAGAGAGGCCATGGCCATTTGGGCCTAAGCTAGCCCCCCAGCGCCACTCCGCCTTCCCAGGTGACTGCTCCCTGAAGCTTCCAGGAAGTCTGCCTCCACTCCGAGAACCTCTTCCCCAGGACGGGGCCAGAGACCATGGGCGAGCTCTTCGGGGGAGATGGGGCAGCAGGAGCCCCCCTCAGACTCTCTGTTCCCCTCACTAAGGCTGGGGCTGGGGGTAGCAGTACCTGGAGGCACTGGGCAGCAGCTGTTACCACCGGCAAGTGGGGGGAGAGGAGGCAGGTCGTTGCAGTTCCAAAAAAGCGAGGGAGGTGGCCCAGCCCCAGATCCCGGTGCAGCCTGTCAAGACAAAAGGCTTCTGTGGTGCCCGGTTCGAGGCCTAGGGGACTCAGATGGCCCAGGTCTGACAGCAGCCACAGATCCAAAGGGCACCAAAAGGCCCTTCTGGTGGGCAACTATACAGAGTGCTGTCAGGCAGGTAACAGCTACACATGGTAAAAGGTTCAAACAGGTCTCCAGGGTACAAAACCAAGAGCATGCCTACTTCCCCACACTGTCTCCCAGACTGACTCTCAGATGCACTTCCCTGGGGAAAATCAAGGCTAAGTTTCTCAAATACTCTTCCAGAAGATTTTATGCATATACAAACACACAAAATAATAACTGCCAACGCTTATGGAACAATTATCACATGCCAAGTTCTGGTGTAACAACAAACATTAATTCACTTAAACTTTGTAAAAAATAAAAACAACAATTGAGATTAAACCCTATCACAATTCCCATTTCAGAGATGAGGAAACTGAGGCACAGAGAAGTCAAATAACTTGTCCAAGGCCATCCAGCTGGTGAGGGGGTGGGGGTGGTCTGGATTCACACCCTGGTAGTTTGGCTCAAGAATGCACAATTACACACCTTGCTTTTTCCTCAGTAGGTCTTGGAGATCTCCCCATATCAGCATGCACCCATCTACCTCAGTTATTTCTAACAGCTGCCTAGTATCCTACTGTTCGCACCTAACCAGTACCCACTGAAGGAGTCTTTTGGGCCTAGAAAAGAGAGCAACAGTCTCAAAGGCCCCTTTGAGAATCATCTAACTAAAACAAAGCATAACTTTAGTTCCATCTGATGCTCCAGGCCAGTTGCATCTATCTGGGACTTATCACCCCCTGTCCGGAAACCTACCACCCCCTACACCCACCCAGAAGACTTATCACCCCCTACCCAACTACAAGTGTCATCTCAACAAAAGAATACTCAAAATATCCCACCTGATTGACGTTTCCCTTATCGCTTCCACAAACCTCCCTATAAGTATGAAGCCTCCCTGATCCCTTTCGGTGCTCAGCCTGGTTGTTAGGCCGACTGTCGCCCCTCCTTGCCTAAATAAAGGTAACCTACTTCTGCTGAGGTCGTCTTTCTTTTCTGCCTCACCGGAACTATGCCTTACACCCACCCTGGGACACATCCAGGTTGCTCCCAGGTGTTTCTGCCATATGGTCACAAAGAGTTGGACATGACCAAAGTGACTTAGCACATATGTATAAAAAGCATCCTACAATTACGGGAGACCTCCTGCAGGATAAACCCTGAAAAGTGGAGAACAAAATGATCTGGCCATTTTCTGGCACCTCCAGGTAAAGAGCAGTTTGGTGCAGGAAAAGAACATGAGTCTGGCAGACCTGGCACTGCTCCCTCGCAGCTGCATGACTAGCTCACACTCAATGCTTCAGTTTCTAGTTTATGAAATGGGCTGAGACCTTCCTCGTGGGGTGGTATGATCAGTGAGATGGAACATGGAAGCAGAGTACCCAGCACAGTCTTCTGGGGGCCAACCAGAAGCCTTCAGAGGACAGAGGATGACATAGAGGTCAAGCCGTCTGGGACTCGACCGTGGCTCCAGGCAAAATGAAATCACCAACTGACACTCTGTTTTATTCTCAATCTTATTTGGGATAAGTGGAGCTATCCAGTGGCTACTATAAGAGGGAGTGTTTTGTGTGCATGCTTTAGTCATGTTCAACTCTTTGCAACCTTATGGGCCAGGCTCATGGAATTCTCCAGGCAAGAATACTGGAGGGGGTTGCCATGCCCACCTCCAGGGGCTCTTTCCAACCCAGGGATCAAACTCATGTTTCCTGCATTGGCAGGCAGGTTCTTTACCACCAGCACCACTTGGGAAACCCCATGTTATGACAGAGACACAAAACAGAAACTGGGTTCGAAGGACTAAGAATCCCAGAGACGGGGACCATTAACCCAGGTGGGAAGTAGGGTTGAGCTGCAGAAAGCAGATGATACCCTCTAAGAAGCAGACAACTGCACAGGGTGATAGCCGGGGGTGACAGCCAGGGGCCCTTGGCCCCCACCCTTCAGTGGGGAAGATGCTCTCAGAAGGCCTTGTTGCGCCTCACAGCTGGTTGGTAATCGCTCCGGCAGGAGAGGCAGCAGCCCTGGCTAACTCAGGCTGTGCTCCCCAGCCCTGCCTTCATGAACTCAAGAGCTGGTCTGCACACACTCAACACAGAACCGCCACCACCCCCAGAAAAAGCTGAACGCCCTCCAATTTCTGGCTCACGGCCCTCCTGTCTGCAGTGCAGGGTGGGGAGCCTGGCTGGTGGCTGCAGGACCGCCCTCTACCATGATCTTACCTGACCAGGTTGATATGGGCTTTCTCCATGACCTTCAGCCAGGCCAGCAGGGGCTGTAAATCATTCTCACTGGGAACGTAGTCGTACAAGGCCTAGGCGAGGGACCAGGAACAAGCAGGTGACTAAGCAAAGTGTTTCAGCAGCAGCCCAGTGACAACACCCCTTCCTATCACTGCACGACAGCCTGCACATGGGGCCCTAGAACTCACAGCCCCCTTGGCCCTCCTTTCCCTGATCCATGAAGCCCTTCTGCTTCAGCTTCTAGTGGAGAAACGTCTTTAGGAGCAGTTGAGAATAACTTGGGTTACACAACCCTTTGTGAACCTGAGAAAGACCAGAACGCTTCTCTGGAAAAATGCATGTGAGCACATACACACATTTTTACAAACAGTTTTTTTTTTTTGGTGGGGGGAGGGTTGTGCCCCCTTCCCCAAATCCACCTAGAGATCCCTGTTGGAGGTACCTGCTACCATGAGGCCATGCTGAATGGTTTACTGTGTTAACTACTACAAAGTCAAGAGTCAGGGCCCCACCTGTGGACACTAATGTGGCTTTGGTGGACGGTCTCCTGGCTGTCTACCCGCCTCCTATGCTGGGACAGCCCAGCCTGGCCTATCCAACCTCGCTCTGTAGCCAGCTAACAGGGCTGCCCCCTGGCACAGCCATGTCCCCCGTTTCCCCATCCCTCCGTTAGGTCTCACTGTGATGATCTGGGCGTTGAGCTCTGCCGGCAGGGTACTCGCACTGGGCTTGGCATGGAAAAGGCTGTGAAAGGCCTGCATGGCACAGGCTGTCACCAGCTGTAAAGGACATGGAGGTTAGTGGGGAACCCACTGAGGCGGTCACTGCAGCCCTGAGCTCCTCCACATCCCACTCCATCTGGTGGGTTGTGGGGGAAACCTGGGCCCTTTGAACCTCAAACATGCCCCTGACACCTGGATACTCAGACACAGTTGTTGCTTTAGGAAGTCTTGGCAGCCACTGGGAAAATTTTTTAATGATTTAAACAACATCAGAGAAATGTGAACAAAATGTTTTTAACATGGGCTAAAAAAACAGGCTACAAATGGTTGGCATACTATAATTAAAACTGTATTTTTATGTGTTTGCTTATCTAAAAAGAAACTGTCTAAAAGGATACACAGCAAGCTGCCTTTACTATTTATCTTAGGAAATGAGACTTGGCGGGAAAAATAGACCTCTATTTTTTACTTTATATACCTTGGAGTTTTTTTTTTTTTTTCAGAGCAACAATCATGTTATTCATATAATGAATATTTTAAAATATGTATGTGAACAAACACTGTAAGAGAACATATAAAGATTAACAAAACTGTGCTAGGATAGCAGAAATGCAAGGCATCACTTCTATGTGTCTTTAGAGTGTGATACTGAACTTACTAAGCAAGCAAAAGAAGAAGGCGAGAGAGAGAAAAATACAACCATAAGCATGGGTGGGGCAGAGCTTAGGCAGGGGAGGACCGCTGCTTCACCAGTCCCAGCCGACTCCACCGCCTCCCTGAGCTCACCTCCCAGCTGAGGCTGCCCCGTCTGCGCCACACCAGGGATGAGATGGGTCCTCGAGTGTAGCCAAGAGCAGGGTCGGGGCCAGGAGACCCCAACTCCCACTTTTGGCCTGAACAGTGAGCCTCCCGAGCGCCAGCACACAGGCCCGGGGCCTGAAGCTCTGCCCTCCCTCCTCAGAGTGCCCCATGCACGGGGGCATGAGCTCACCACATGGTTCAAGGTCATGACCCGCAGGAGAGTCTCGCCGCAGCTCTTCACCAGGCCTTCTGGGAAGCAGGGCAGTAGGTCCTTCAGCAGGGTCAGCATGTGCAGCATGGTGGTGGCCTCCTTGGAGCCTGGCAGACAGAGGGCAGCTGAGACTCCAGCCCACTGTCTGCAGCTGGCCCCAGCCCTGCCCCACCCACTCCCACCGCGCTGCCCCACCTCCAGACTTCTCGATCTCCTGGACGCAGAACTTGGCGGTAGAAATGGCAGCAGGGTGATGGGCAGGGGCCTTTTCACCAAACATGAACTCGCTGCCCTTGAGGATGGAGCACACCCCATGCTGGGCAGCCTTTCGGATCTGAAGGGCAAGAAAAGGGGACAGGGCCGGGTCAGCACTCAACCAGCAACATGGGTGGTTGTCATGACCACCAGCAATGAGCAACAACCGCACACCCATTGTGGGGGCATCCTTTGCATGGACTCCTGGGCTGATAAGTAAGACAAACCTGGGTTTCAATTTCTGCTCTTCTACTAACTCACCAACAAACCTTGAGCAAACCAAACTACTTAGTCTCTGCGCTTCAGTGTCTCATCTTTACAACACGGATTCCTCTGTTCACGCCATCATCCAACAACAGAGTGCTCACCAGTTCAGCAGTGAACCAGCAACTCATCGGGAGATAGGAAGTAAAGAAATGCATGCCAGAACACAAAAGTACTTTGCAGACAATAAAACAGGGGTTGTTTCTTTTTTATGCAGTGATCAGGTAAGTATCACTTCAGTGATGTGACGTTTCAGCAGAGACCTGAAGCAAGGGAAGGGACCGCCATGGGGATTTGCAGGAAAGAAGGCATGGGCCTGCCTGATATCAGCGTGCTCAGCACCAGGAGTGACTCTTAGGACTGTTATGACTGATACACGCCCCCCAGTTCTAAAGTTCAGAAGGAAGCAGCGTGGCCGAGAATCACTTACTAGGCACTGGCTATAAGCCGGGGCCTGTACCAGGTCTGAGGAAATCACCCGAGTGTCACCATGACCTTGCAGCAAAGTTGATTTATTATCCCTATTTACAGCTTAAAAAACCAAGACTCAGAGAGATTAGGTAACTTGTCCATGGTCCCAGCACAGTGAGTCAAATATTCAGCTCAGTTCTGTGTGACTCCAAAGCCCCCTCCAGCACCCTCTCCTTCCACTGTAACTAAATACATCACTGACCAGTGAGGCAGCAGAGACTCAAACAGGCCTGACTATGACCATCCCTCCTGCAGGAGTGAGCAGACAGGACTTCAGGCAGGAGCAGAAACTCCGGATAGGAGTCCAGCACTCAGGGTGACCTCCCTGGGCCACTCAGCGGGCCAGCAGCAGCCAGCTTACTGGGATGGGAGTGGCCGCCCCCTCCCACCCCGGGGTCCCACAGCCTCACCTTAGGCTTGGTGTGCACAGTGAAGCTCAGCAGCCCGTGGTGCACCTGCAGGGTCACAGGGAAACTCCAGGCCTCCAGGTCCTGCTTCCGCAGAAGGGTGGCCAGACAGGAGAGGACCTGAGAGGAGAGGCAGAGACCCTCAGCTCTACCCGCTTCAGCAAGGTGGGAGATAGCCCGGGTTCTCAGGGACTCCGGAAAATGCCAAAGGGCTTTCTGAGGATCCACAGAGTGCCTATACCCCTCCCAGGAAGCGTGCAAGCTTTAGCCAAATCAGGTGGGCTCTGGAAGACGGCAGGGGGACACCCAGACCCAGACACTGACCCATCGGAGGGCAGAGGTGGAGCCACTGATGGCCTGGGCTGACATGATATCCATGAAGGCTTTGGAGGTATCGGAGAACTTCTTAATGAGCACAGGACTGGGCACGCTGAGGGGGAGAGAACAGAGACGGTGAGAAGCCCAGAGGGGTCTCCGAGAGCTGCTGGTCTGGACAAGCTGGACAGAGCGGGGCAGTGCGGGCCCATCACTCAGCTGGCTCCCCTGTCGTGACACCCAATTCAGTGCGTTTCGACAGCCCTTGAGCTCCCCGTCTCCCTCATATTCTCCACCACTACCGACCCAATGGGCCCTTAGAAGCTCCCCCCAATCCTCTCCCCACGTGTCCCCTGGCTGCAGGTCCCCAGACAAGCGGGCCCCACATCCCACCTCATCCCTCCTGCCCAGCCACCCCAGTCACATTCTGTCCTGTTAACATCCCAGGCCACCCGGAGCCCGGTGGACTGCCACTGGATACTTAGCGTCTCTTTGTTCTTTTTAATAATTCCTGTGTCACTCCCTCCCCTCCAGCCCCGCTCCCTTCTTCCCTCACAAGGAGCCAGGACTCACCGCTTGAGGACAAGGTTCAGCAGGTAAGCAACAGCAGCCAGAGACTCCGTGGACTCCACTGCTTCCATGGTTGTCATCTGACCAGGCCATGGGGTGGGAATGTGGGAAGCACGTCATGCGGGGCAAATGGGGTGCTGGGGCCCCGTGAACCCATGGGGATGGTTAGGACCAAGAACCCTGGTGTCAGAACCTGAAATCCCAGCTCTGTCACTGAGACTCTGTACTAGCAACTTAACTTTTCTGTGACTCGGGTTTCCTCACTTGTAAAATAGGGATAATTAAGTTGTCGTGAGGTTTAACTGAATTAATACACATCACACTTAGAACACTGCCTGACATGTGATGAAAACTATTATACTGCTATTCAATTTACTTCATTATTCTAGAACAGAGGTTAAAAAGCATTTTCTGCAAAGAGCAGCCAGATAATAAATATTTCAGGCTTTGCAGGCCACATGTGATCTCTGCTGCATATTCTTCTTTGTGTGTTTTAACCATCTTATAAAAATGTAAAATCCATCCTTAGCCCTCAGGCTATACAAAAACAGGCCATGGGTCAGATGATGCCCATAGGTTATAGTTTGCCCCTTCTCCACAATAGTGGTTCTCACACTTTTAAACCCTTAAAAATTATTGAGGATTTCCCCAGAGATTTTGTTTATGAAAATTATATCTACTGATATTAAAAATTAAAATGGAGAATTTTTTTTAAAAACGTAAGAATATGCAAGCACAATTCCATGAGCTATTAAAATGTCATTAGACATTACATAACTTCTGGAAAACTCTAGGGTACACTCACAACACAGAAAAAGGTAAATGATGGTCTAGTAGTACTATGGAAATAATTTTGACCTAGCCAAGCCCCCAAAGGGCTTCCCCAGTGGCTCTGAGGTAAAGAATCTGCCTGTGATGCAGGAGATGTGGGTTCAGTCCCTGAGTTGGGAAGATCCCCTGGAGAAGGAAATGGCAACCCACTCCAGTATTCTTGCCTGGAGAATCCCATGGACAGAGGAGCCTGGAGGGCTACAGTCCATGGGGTCACAAAAGAATCGGACATGACCTAGAGACTTAACAACAGCAAATCCCCTGAAAGCGTGTTGGGAACCCCCAGACTACACTCTAAAAACAGTTTTACTAGAGAATCCCCTGGGTGTAACTCAGTTTTATCAACTAGGGAAAAAAAATAAATAAAAGAGAGAACTGGATTTTGTTTCACAAGAATCATATAGGAAATCCCGCCAGCCTTACCAAGTCATTTGAGAATAACTGAAGCCCTTTCACCTTTTCAAGGCTGTCTTTCTCCACCCCTGCATGCAGGGGTCCCTGTCTTCTCTCTACAGCCTGAAGAACCTGCTACTCCCAATGCCCACCCGAAAGTCGCGTTCACTCACCAGTGCGGCAAAGTACTCAGTCTCGGTTTCCTTCCCACCCTGGGAGCGAATCACCTCTGTGACAGCAGCCAAGACAGCACAGATCTGCACATAAGGGAGAAGCCATCTGTCACATCTATTTCCAATCAAATCCCACCCCAGGGTAGCCTCTTCTCCTTCCTCCGTCACAAATTAATCTCCTGACAAAGCCCAGAGCAGACAAGATGAACTGCACCCTGAGCCAGGGGAACATATCATGGGGCCCAGCAAACTGGAAGACATACACATTTGCCCCAAAACCCATCTCCAGGGCTCTACCCCTTATAGAAATACCCGCACAAATGTGCAAACATTTGTGTACAAGTGTGTTCACTGCAGCAACCAATTGGAACAATGACGCAGCCTTCAGCAGGGGATTAATAATGTAGTGTCACATACTAATGACAGATTTGAATACGATGTAACCACTGAAAAGAATGGTGACCACCTACATAGATGAATTTAGAAACACTGATCAGTGGGGAAAAAGTTGTAGAATAGTGTATATAAAATATAATGGTGCTTCAGTAAACCTAGACAAAGTCTGGGTAAAAAAGTCTAGAATAGCATTAATAACTTGATAAAAGTTTATTGAGAACTTGAGATCTGGCTAGTATGACTGAGGAACTGCATCTTTAAACATCTTAATTATTTATATTTAAAAACAAATACTTATTGGGAAACAGATTTAGAACTACTTGGGTATAAGAATCTACTTTTGCAATTGTAAGTTTCATGAACTTTAAATACTAATCAAGTACTGCCAATGAAAATTTAGCATCCAAATGGAGGTGTCAGACTAGATTCTGAAAACTCAGTAGAATAAATATAATGCAAAAATACCTCACTTTTAAAAATATTGATTATAAGTTGAAATGACAATATTTGGAGTATACCAGGTTACATGTGAGATACATAATTAAGGTTACTTTCACCTGCATCTTTTTTTTACTTTTATTTAACATAGCTACTAAAAAACTTAAAATCCTTTGTGTGGCTCACATTACATTTCTGTTGGACAGCACTGGTCTAGAAAAGTACACAGTGACTTGTTAACAGTAACTACCACAAAGAAGTTAAGCTGGGAGGCCAACTTTCATATTTTATTCTACTCATCTCACTTTGTTCATTTATAGTTTTGATACTTCTCATTTAAACAATGAAAAAATATAAATATATACAATTTAAAATTATAAACAAAAAAGTAGCATTTAGGTCCTATTAGATAAAACATTTCCTAGCCACTATTCTTCAGTGTTAATTTATTTAACAAATGTTTTCTGAAAACAGTCTACATAAAAAGGCCTGTGTTAGGTATAGTTGAAGAGATAAACGTTTGCAAAATATTTTTTGGACATTTGGAAATTGTCTGGAAAATACACTGAGGGACTTTACACTTGAAATGAGAAGATACTCAGAAAAAGCAGAGTGGAACCTGCCCTAGGAGATGCAATAGGTCAGGGACACAGAGGGTAGGAAGGGTGACACAACACCCAGAAATTCCACCTGTTGTCACCAGACAGCAGTCAATTGTCCCCCGCCTCCAGCTAGCCTCAGGCTGAGCTTCCCCCTACCTCCTTGTGGGCAGCCGAGTTGGACTCCCAGAAGCGCTGCACTTTGCTGAAGGTGACGTTTGTGCAGTCAGACAGGCCGCTCAGGAAGGTGCCAGAAGACTTCTCGGTGAAAGCTGGCGTCACCTCCTCTTCTTCCATGGCCGTCTCTGGGGCTTCGCTTTTGCCCAGGCGCAGGGACCCTGACTGCAGCTCATTATGCAACTTCACCGCATCAACTGTCAAGTCGCTCTTTCCTGAGAACCAGCGATAAACAGTAAGGTCCCCACTTCTACTCGAAACTCCTTGGCCAAGAGAACAAGAACCATCCCTAGGAAACAAACCGACAGTCTGGGCTCCTAATCTGAGAGACTAAATTCTGAACGCAGTCCGCCTCAGCAGCCCACGGTACGCCTAGAACTTATCAGACCCAGAAAGGGAACCCTCCAGCTAACGGTTTCGCTTGTGTGAGTCGGCTGGGGGCTGCAGTGAGGGGCCTGGGAAAGAGAAGAGGGTGAAAGCGCTCTGTGAAGAGCCAAGATTAATCACAGGCATGATTACAGACGCAGACACTCGTGGTACCCAAGCCAAGTTATCTCCCTCCTGTGAACTCACTTTCTGCATCTGTTAAATGGGGAGAGTGGGCCCTTACAGCAGATTCGAGATTGGACATTTTAAGAGACGAAGCGTCTGGTGCCTGGGCCCCAGAGCGGCTTAGATCCATCGAGACTCAGGCCGGCCCAAAACCCCGCCGCCCGGCTGCGCCTTGATCGCGACCCTGCTACCTGAAGGCCGGCTGAAGAAGCGGCTGCGGGCGGCCTGGCGGTGGCGGCAGATGACCGGGTTGCTGTCGCTGCTGTGGCCTTTCTTCCAGCGTTTCAACTTGGCCGAGACCCCGGAGGGCAACTTCCCCGAGCGACCCATGCCTAGTATGCAGGGAGTGAGTTTAAAGGACTGGGTTCGTGGAACTAAAATACAGGCAGGACCCACGTGGGTTCGCAGCCGCTCCACTTCCTCTTCCTCTGGCGTAACTTCCTTATTCGCGGCCGTTTCCATGGCAAAAGAATCAACATCCGGTTTCACGTAGTCTCCAGGCTGTAACCTCGGTTGAAGGAGAGGCTGGAGGGAGACCCATTTCTAGGAAGGAAGCTCTGGTGGTAGAGTGTAGCTGTGGTTCTTACCCCTAGGCTACTGTTTCTTGGCCACAGGAGTGAGCCTTGTTAAACTGGAATTCCTTTGCAGGTTAAAACACAAACGTAGATTTATATTACTTTTTAAAATCTAATTTCAGGGATTAAAATCTAATTCCCTGGTGGTCCAGTGGCTAAGACGCTGCACTCTCTATACAGGGGGCCTGAGTTTGATCCCTGGTCAGGGAACTAGATTCCACGTGCCACAACTAAGACCCTATGCAGCCAAATAAGTAAAAATAAATTTTAAAAAAAAATCTAATTTCAAAAGGTAAGCATAGAAACCAGGTGGCGCTAGTGGTAAAGAATCTGCCTGCCAATGCAGAAGACACAGCAGACAAGGGTTCAATCCCTGGGTTGGGAAGATCCCCTGGAGAAGGAAATGGCAACCCACTCCAGTATTCTTCCTGGGGGAATCCCATGAGCAGAGGAGCCTGCAGTCCATGGGGTTGCATGCAAAGAGTCTGTCACGACTGAGCACACACACACACACACACAGTCCTGTATAGCAGAAAGAACTATATCCAGTCTCCTGAGATAAGCCACAATGGAAACATGGAAAAGAATACATATATAAACCAGAATGTGTATGTGTGTATAACTGAGTCACTGCTGTAAGTGGAGATTTGCATAGCATTGTAAGTCAACTGTACTTCAATTGAGGGAAAAAAGCAGAGAGTTAAAACCTGGCCAGATCTGAGTGAAAACCAGTTCAGGCTAGGAAAAGAGAAAAGCAGCCAGTGATGCTCTAAACCCGCTCAGCTATTTTCGTTTATTACTGGGGATATCCACTTGCTAAACCACTCTTGCCTCATTGTTATTGCTATTCAGCTGCTAAGTCTTGTCTGACTCTTTTTGACCCCATGAACTGCAACATGCCAGGCTTCCCTGTCCTTCACTATCTCTGAGTTTGCTCAGACTCATGGCCATTGAATCAGTGATGCCATCCAGCCATCTCATCCTCTTACCTCATGATAGCACTCAATTCCCCCCTACTTAATCTCGTCTTCTCCTAATTTCATTTCAGAACCAGAATGCAATCCAGAACTGATTCCCACTCCCCTGAACCCCTCCCCAAAATCCTTTAGCCAGAACCCGAGTTTACAAAAGAGCTTCCCTTCCCTCTCTTGCAGAGCAACATTCAAAGATTCCTCCAGAATTCTCTTCCTCAGTTCAAATCAATAAATCTGATTTTGTCAGAATAAAGCTTGATCTGGGGTTTTAGGCTGATTAGGCTTTAAACATTCATTTTTAAAACTTCTGTTTTTTGACTTCCACTAAAGTAAGACCCTTCAATGAGTCAATCTTAATGTACCAGAACTTGACAACCATTTTGCATCCTGCTTCCTTCACTTGATACAATGTGAATTTCCCCCATGTGTTACAAACTAACTGTGTCCTCTGCCCATATTCAAATGTTAAAAATCCTAATTCCCAAAAAAAAAAAAAAATCCTAATTCCCATAGCTGATGGTATTAGGAGAGGGGGTTTTTAGGTGGTGTTTAACTCGTTAAGGATGGACCCTCATGAAACTGGCATGAACTGGCAGAGCTTCCCAACCTTTTCCCACCATGTTTCCACAAAGCGAGAAGGGCCCTCACCAACCACACTGCCCCCCCGCCCCCCACGAGCTTTAAAACCAGACATAAACTAATCTACAGTATTAGAAGTCAGGATAGCAGTGTTCATGGTGGCAGTAGCTGAGAGTGGGCACAAAGGGAATAGTAACATTCTAATTATTTCTGAGTAAGGAGTTTACATAGATGTTATCACTGTGTGCTAACTCACTGAACTGTACACTTACAATTTGTGCACTTTTCTGTGCATATATTACACTTCATTGTTTGACTAAAAATCAGAAGTCATCCTTGGACACAGGGCAGAGAGAGCATGAAGACTGTTGACATGAGAAACCACCACTGCAGTGAAGGCGGTGAAGGCAACTGAGCGCTGCCTGAGCCTCCAGCCACAGGAATCACCACCAACTCCTCTGGTCAGGCCCACTTCTGGAACAGAGGCTGAGTTTTAGGTCTGAGAAAAAGGAACTAGTGGCCTGAGGAGGAAAAGGGAGACAAACTTGGAAACTGCTATAAGCAAGGCAGTGCTCATGACCAGTGGAGAAGGAAATAGCAACCCACTCCAGTACTCTTGCCTCGCTACAGTCCATGGGCTCACGAAGAGTCGGACACGACTGAGCGACTTTGCTTTCACTTTTCACTTTCTTGCATTGGAGAAGGAAATAGCAACCCACTCCAGTTTTCTTGCCTGGAGAATCCCAGGGATGGGGGAGCCTGGTGGGCTGCTGTCTCTGGGGTCACACAGAGTCGGACACGACTGAAGTGACTTAGCAGCAGCAGCAGCTCATGACCAGAAGTCATGATGTAGGGACAGTCACTTGAGAGAAGGCAGAGAAAGTGTTGGGTTCAAGTCTGGACTTACTTTCTTCATCACACAGAGCAAGAATTTAACCTCTTTGAGTCGGCATCTCATAAGGTGGTAAAAATAATGCTGAACCCACTGGTCTGCTCTGAGGATTGTGTCAGAATGATTACAACACGGTTTAAGTGTTGTTAGTGGTACCATGTGAAGGGTGCTATGGTGCCCTTTTACCACCAGAGGGAGCACTGCAAACAAACTGTTAAAGCCAAAACCCTACAGAGACAGCAACAACCACTAAGCAACCTGGGGTTTTGCAAATCAGATGGGGAGATGAAGAGACCCAGGGTAGTGGCAGCCTTCAGATCCTTTTCCTAGAGAGCAGGCACTGTGGGCCGGCAAACTGAGTCTGCACCGTGACTGGATATAGCCAGCCCCTGGGTGCTCAGTCTGGAGCAAGCATTGGAGAGGCCCCAGGCTCCCTGATGGCCCTCCATCCTGAGGCATCCGCTCAGAGTCTCCTCCAGAAGGCATGTGGTGCCAGGAGAGGGGAAAGAGGCATCCAGATGGCCTGAGCACACTCTAGCACACTCTTCCCCACCCTGCACCCCAGGGCTCACCTTTTTGCTGAAGGACTAACCTCCTCCACCCAGAATTCCAACACCTCCCACCCAGAGGCATTAACTGTCTCCATGACTAGCCATGTATATATGGCTCGTAAAGATGACTCTGCATCAGGTGGCCAAAGTACTGGAGCTTCAGCTTCAGCATCAGGAGAGCTGACTCATTGGAAAAGACTCTGATGCTAGGAAAGATGAATTTGAGCAAACTTCAGGAGGTAAAGGACATGGAAGCTTGGCGTGCTGCAGTCCATGGGGTCGCGAAGAATCGGACCTGACTGAGTGACTGAACAACAACAAAGGACCACTCACGTTTGTGGGATGGATCCTGTAGTCAAACCCTCAGGGTTAGAATTCAAGTACCATCACTTGCTGTCTGACCTTGAGCAAGTCGCCTTGCTCTCTGAGCCTCAGTTTCTTTCTTTTTTTTTTTTTTTTTGACCCTTCATTGATTTATTTATTTTTTTTTTTTTATCACAACCATAGTGTATCTTTTTTTTTTTTTTTTTTAACATGTATTCCCCATCCCGGTCCCCCCTCCCACCTCCCTCTCCACCCAATCCCTCTGGGTCTTCCCAGTGCACCAGGCCCGAGCACTTGTCTCATGCACCCAACCTGGGGTGGTGAACTGTTTCACCCTAGATAATATACGTGTTTCAATGCTGTTCTCTTGAAACATCCCACCCTCGCCTTCTCCCAGAGTCCACAAGTCTGTTCTATACATAGGAGTCTCTTTTTCTGTTTTGCACATAGGGTTATCGTTACCATCTTTCTAAATTCCATATATATGTGTTAGTATACTGTAATGGTCTTTATCTTTCTGGCTTACTTCGCTCTGTATAATGAGAGCCTCAGTTTCTTTCATCTGTAAAATGGAGATAAGAATGCCCACCCATAGCATTTTTGAGAACCAAATAAGACAACACATGTAAAAGTGCTTAACACTATCTGGCACATAATGAGAAGGCAATAACTGTGAGCTGACTCATTGGAAAAGACCCTGATGCTGGGGAAAATTGAGGGCAGGAGAAGGGGTGACAGAGGGTGAGATGGTTGGATGGCATCACTGACTCCATGGGTATGAGTTGATGGATATCTCCATCACTAACTCCAGGATATAGTGAAGGACAGAGAATCCTGGTGTGCTGCAGTCTATGGGGTCGCAAAGAGTTGGCCATGACTTAGCAACTTAACAACATTATTATTATCCAAAAAAAAAAAAATCTTCTTGAGTTACAAAGCACCTTCTCTATCTAAGTGAGGAGGAGAGAGCGAGCACATGTCCTTATTTCACAGATGGGTAGATATGGTTCCAAGGAGTTGAGTGACACCACTAAGGTCATACAGTTGGTCAATGGGCAAAAGCCGGGAGATCCAACTCTTGGCCAAGGAGCCCCCTCTGTGGTCACTGCTCTTAAAACTCTCTTTAAGGCTCACATGGAAGGCAAAGGGCTGCTGCGCCCAAAGCACTGAGCCCAGGGGCACAGGAAGGCCCCAGGCCTTTTTTAGATCTGTGGTGTTGTAATCTCTTAGGATGATAGGCAAGAGGAAAGGGAAGTTGAGGTTTAGCCTCTTGCCCTAAACAAAGAGGAACCGATGGTTTGGATGTTTGAAATGGGGCTCAAGCCTGAGGGCAGGAGAAGGGCTTTGTCACCCTGGGCAGCCCATTATGATCAAACAGTGGAGCTGCAACTCCAGAGTGTTTTCCTAACGGCTGGAATCGTGTTAACAACCAGAC